ACCTATTGCAATAAAACGGCAATTTCATACTTTAACCCCTAATATTATAACATATAACATTTTCAAGTGACGGGACGAACAAGTCGTGCGCCTGATGGTAAGCTACACGCCTGTCCATAACAGTTACAGTGCCAGATTTGAGGGGCACTACCACTGCGCCCGTCACCCTGAGACATAAGTTGACAAGTCCCATGTACTTGCAATTTCACCAGCACCCTTACCCTTCAAAATGGGAACACAGTAATGCTGACATTACTGCTTGACGGCAGAATTAGGTAAGGTGGCACTGCTACCCTGGACGAACTCTTTCACAAGGAGCTCTACTGCTACTAAAACAAAAGTTTTTTTTAAAATAAATATGCAATGATTGTGGCATTAACGCCGTTCTGCCCTAATTACTACAACAAAAGTGGGAAGTGTTAATGCATATCAAGAATAAACAACTAAATAAAAATAAAAATTAAAAAAAATTAAATTAAAATAATAATAAAATAGTAAACCAATAAAATGATTGATACAAAAAAAAAATTAGTATATACACATGCGTTATACGTGTATAACAAGGTAATATTTTATATTTTTAAATGTTATTTTTAAACATCTTTTTTTTAAACAAATATACGCGATTTTAAGCAGTTTCCTTTCCAGTGCATTTATTTATGTTGGTTTGATTTTCACATGTTAAGGCGGTTTCTCGGCTGCGCATCCAACCGTGCAGTGCTTTTGGAAGGTGGTGGAGAACTTCACCGATGACCAGAGACGACAACTTCTCAAATTCGTGACCAGCTGTTCAAGACCTCCGCTATTGGGTTTCAAGGTGAATACGAATTGCTGACATTGTAAAAACTAATATAGATTCAATAACACTATTGACGTATATGAGTCTCCTCTAGCGAAAGGTACGATGATGCCCACAGCGTTTTGGGGACACTCTGGGCACTAATTGAGTAGGTCCTGAGTTCGATTCTCGATAGGATATATATTTTAATCAATCAATCAATCATATGAATTTTATGAGAGCCATAACTCTCTTGACGAAATACCTTTTGTGTCAGTGTCAAGTTTTAAATCAAGTCAAGAACTATACAAAATTTTAACGTCAAACCCTCGGGTTTAGTTTTGAACAATTTGCCTTGAATACAAAATTTTGTGCTTATTTAAAAACAAACTTCACTTTTTTTTATTCAATGAAAAAATAGATTTTTGTTTTATACATTGCAGTTTCGTTATCTGTAAACTTATTGTTGCCTCTAAGGGACACTAAAGCTTCTTTACTAATGTCATATTAAATGTATGGCAGCGTTGAAAGTTAAAATTTTGGATATTTTTAGTTTTATTTTTTAAAAGTATTTGATGTCCTTTTACTCATTAGGTATCGTACTTTCGATATCAGTATCAAGGTTTTTGATATCTCTTATATTGACGGAATAATCGCCTGCCACACTTAACGATTACACCCTGTATATTAGTGACGATCATATTACATCTTAATGTTACATTTTAAATTGTAGTATTATGACAATGATAATATGAAATAAATAGTTATAATTTATGCAATTTCAACGCGTACTTTTTGTATAAGAACTTGAGTGAGAAGATGTTTTTCTTTATTAGGATTTGCAGCCACCATTCTGCATCCAATCGGCGGGCGCATCGGATCGGCTGCCGTCATCGTCAACATGCATGAATCTGCTCAAATTACCCGAGTTCCATTCTGAAAGTACACTCGCGGAGAAACTCCTCTATGCCATACAAGCTGGTGCTGGTTTCGAATTAAGTTAATGTGAGTAAATATAATTTTTACAGGCCACATATCGCACTGTTAGTACAATAGTGTACTAACTAAAAAAAGTATATTTTTTTCAGAATCAATGAAAAACGAATTACTTCCTTCCATGTAAGACTATTGAAATTTATGTAGAGGTCAAAGTTTATTACAGACATCTACACAATTTCCTACTATTTTTTGACTAAGTCCTTACTTACTCATAAATATGAATTTGTTTTTTTTACTAGCTCACAAAAAGTTAGTCTCATTCTCAGTCAAGTACAGATCTTTTAATTGTTTCATGCAATATTTTAACGACTGTTATATTGCCGAGTAGAGAATAAAATTTTACGATAAAAATGGTGTAATCTTGAATTTCACATATTTCGAATTACAACATTATTGTAATAGCAGTGCGATATACAAATTATTCCTATTTTCGATCAATCGTCACTACAATCGTATCGATCCGTTGCTACTCTGGCGTCCAAGTTAATCGTTGACGACATAATGATACTATCGATTCTTCGTTTCGATCAGTCTGAAACGGCGGATCGTACAGACAAATCGTCTTATATAGTTTTCCAATAAGGACATAATAATTTTGTATTTCAATAAAACACGCAGCAATTTAGATATCGAGCTGAAATTTATTCTAGGTGCAGTAAACGTAATGTTACATTTAAGAATGGAATTTGATCTCGTTCATATGACCACCGCGAGCATGTTCCTATAATTAATATAGTGCCTGAAGTAGGGCTTATCCTAACCAAACCCCCCGGGTGTCTACTCTTGTTCTCGGTTCGACATCCGTCCGAAACTACTGTCAAATAAGTAATATTCAACCAAATTTAAAAAAAACAACGTCAAGTATTCATTTCATTCACGTCTTGCGTGTTTTAATTTGATCGAGTATTACTTATTTGACAGTAATTGTTTCAGACGGATGTCGGACGGAAAACGAGAGTACATGGCCTGGACCCCGATTCAGAACTCTTCGATATATTATACGAATCGTTCAATTGGATATCGTTCTCGAATCGAAGGGCGTTTTCCGAGCTATTCAGAACATTCCGAGTTAAACGTTCGATTCGGATTCGGATACGACATCGTTATCTAACAGCGTTTACGGAGTTAGTCGGTGAAATAGATTACAAGAAAAATGAAAATCCTTTTATATACATTTATAAGACTTCAATGGCGTAAAATATAGGAATGCATTAAAATAAATTAATAAAATTGAACAAAATCCAGACTTCATTCATTTTAAATAATAAGAAATTTCCATATTACATTATTACTTTGTAAACAATAGGACGTTCGGTAACTTTCATTCGATAACTGTGTTCTGAATAACGTTTGTAGCTTTATCCGGTCGAGAAGCTCGAGTAATCGTACATGTATGATGTCGTTTCGGTTAGGTTTCGAATACGACAGTTTGACAATCGATTTGGGTGTTGTGAATAAAAATGAAAAGAAATCAAATCAAATCGGTCGACAACTTGGTTATCGTAAGGTTTTGAATCGACCCTCAGATTTTATTTTATGCATGCAAAAAAATGCAATTGGAAGTTAGTTGTTAGTCTGTTATATAATTACGTACAGTTGACAGCATACACAGCGTTCTACTTATTATTTTTTTATGATCCTAAGCCATGGGACGAACATGTCATGCGCCTGGTAGTAAGCGACACGCCTATCCAAAGCAGTTCCAGTGCCACTCGGAGCTTTAAATCGCAAATACCCGAGGGACACTCCCACAGCGCCTGTGACCTGAGACACAAGTTGACAAGTCCCATGTTCCACGAATTACTCGGACGCACTAATTGTCATATTACTGCTTTGCGGTATAAACAGGTAAGGTGGCATTATTTCCTTGGACAAACTCTTTTACAGGTCCTTGTAAGTTACCAGCTATAGGTATTAGAATTTTATTTATACAAAACAATCTATAAAGCATTTTGTCATAATAAAGTCATTATAGAATTCTTAGGCTTCCCTGGACGAACACTTACACGAGGTGCTCCACTGCTGCTATTACTTACTACTTTTCAATGTTGGGCGGTCATAAACAGCATAAATCTGTGGCGTGTAGCTAAGCATGCTGTTCTCTATATGGTTCAGTTTTAGTATGTCTTGTAATATTACTTGTGTTTTTTCCACAGGTTCTCAGAAGGAACGTGTTAGTCTGTATCTACTAAAATAATACGAACATAGGTAGGTAGGTACATACTGTAAAGTAGAAAGGATATACCTAGCGGATAAAAATAATAATTTCTCAGCATTATATCAAAAGAAATTCTAAATCTTGCGTCACTTCTAATAGCACGCTAGTGCTTTTGAAATTAGTATTTCAATTGTTGAAAACCTTTATTACTATATAGAATGTTAAGTAAAACTGATTGTTATTCGCTGGGGTGTCCATAATTTTTTTAGCGTACGGAACATATAAAACATTAATGTTCTATAAATTCTAAAATTTATCATAAATCTCAATGTGATATACAAATATACTCGGTGAAGTATTTTGTTGTAAATAAATACTTAATGTTACCCATTGATGTTGATTTTTTTCCCTAATGTCTGTGAGTATTTATTTTTGTGAAACGTAGTTTATAGCGTTAGTACAATGTGTAGTTATGTAAATAATTATATTATTAATCGTACATAATATTCTGTGAGTCTCTTTCTGGGAATTTTGAACATTGAGTGAATTTATACTGAAATTGTATGTTGTGTTCACGCCTGGCGTGAAAATAGAGATGTTCAAATGTACAGTCACGAGCAAATCAAGCTTGACAGTTTGGACTATTCTTAACGCAAGCGTCTTAATCGTCGTGTAAGAGTTCTTTTTATTTCCCGGATATTTCAAAACGGCTATACGCTCCATGGTCACCGGCTGACTGTTGAACTTTGAAGTGATCACGTAACCCTGGAGCTTGTAACCGCTTGGAAATATCGGGAAAATGAAATGAACACATACCGTGGTATGAAACCCGTAATTAGTGATAATCATTTAGTGAATAACCACGAAAGCCTTAAAATCTATGTCGTAGAGTGGAAAGATCATGGCCCACAAAAGTATAAAAAACCATATCCACGGCGTACAGAAATAACATATTTGGTTAGATTTATAAAAAAAAATCTGTACTTTACAATGGTCTGTGTCGTTTTACTGTGGGTACTGGGAATTATTTAATAAAAAGAAATATTTTTATATAAAAAACGTATGTTAGTCCAAAATATTTGTGTTTCGTATTTATTGTACATATATTACCCAGACAACGATTTCGGTCGTATTCCTACTAGAACTGACCGCCCAGGGTTCGCGCACGAGTGTATTGATATTTATTTTGACAAAAAGTCTGACAATAATCTAATTAGGATTTTCACTCAATTAAAAATATGTCAAATCTTTATTTCCCTGTTACATGTTAACACTGTAGATTTACAATTTTTTTTTCATGAAAATTATAAGTGGTTTATAACTGCATAATTTTAAACTATTGTGGTTTTTGTACGCAAACTTCCATTAACCGGGTCAGATTATAGGCCATGATCTTTAAATGTCAAACTTGAAGTGCCCTTGTCCCTGTACTTACGGGAATTTCGATCAAATAAATGTATGTATGTATGATTGTACCATATTGTAAATTTTTCGTCATTATCATGTTAGTCAGTAGCGAGAGAGTTGAACGGCGCATATCAGTCACGTAACTTACGCTTGTTAAGTTTGCGGCTGAATTTCTAAATCCAAAAACCTACTATATTCATTCAAACCTACTCTCATCCCATGTCTACCTATAATGTGTTTAAAACAATAATATTATAAGGAAAAATATGTAAGTATCATGGAACAAACTAATAAGCGAGAGTGCTGTAATATTTTTTCGCTTTTCTTTTTTTCTATAGTTATAATATTTATTAAGTTTACAAATTTTCTATTAATATACTATTGCGACAATGTTTCCAGTGTTTCCCTTTATTTTTTGTTGCGTCTAAGTGTTACCTGTGTTTTTGTTTGTTCTTTGCTAGCGGCGTCTCTACCGACAAAACATTGCAGCACACACTCGCTTCACATCTATGTTTCAAATCATATCTGTGTACATTAAAGTAAATAATAATCATCTGAAAATCAAGTAACAATAATGAATTTTTGACTAATTTATTACAAAATGATGTTCGAGTGAAATGAGCTTTCCTAAGAACTATACGAGTCTATGGAACTCTTAATGAGTAGATAAATTTTAATTATTATTATTTCATGAGTCTGAAATGGGTTTACCCATTTAATAACTATGTACAATGTAATTTATTATTATTAATTATAATTTAATTAGTGATGTAGTATGTCTCGCATAGTGCAACTGAGTTGTGTCAAATTTGCGAATTTTATATTTTAGTACTTACCTCAGAATAAAGTTGTCGAATCCTTTAAAAAATGCCGTTTCATTCAAGATGAAATTCATATTTCCGAATAATTAAGTCTTTGTCACAAGCTTGTATGGTACCCGAAGCAGCGTTCATAGGCGGCGGTGATCGCTTTCTATCAGGCGAGCCGTATGCTTGTTTGCCGCCTACATACGTGAGGCGCACTATAAGTTTCCGGAACGAATAAGAACAAAATACTGTAAATGGTCAGAAATGAATTTATTGTTTCTCAAAATATTCTACGTTAGTGTTAATGCACTTTTTCATACGAATGAACCAATTTTGAAAACATTTATGCCACTCCTCCGTGACAATCTCTGAAAAATACTTTTAATACTCTTCGATAGCCTCTTCAGGTGATGAAAATCGTCGACAGCGTAACTGGTACTTAATTTTTGGAAATAAATAAAAGTCACAAGGTGTTAGGCCGGGACTGTACGCGGGATGGCTCATAAAGTCAACGTTGTTCACCTTCAAAAATTCATTTGTCCGTCTGGCCGTGTGAGAACTGGCATTATCGTGGTGCAAGATGATACGGCGTTTACGGTTATTTTTACGGAGTTTGTCAATAACTTCCGGCAAACAAACGGTCGTGTACCAATCACTATTCACGGTACAACGATTCTCCAAAGCAACAGTAGCCACGTCTTCAGTTTTATTAAAAAAAAGAAGCAATCATCCGCTTAGTGGCACTTTGCACGCACGCCACTTTGGTTCGTTTCGGGTCATCTCGAAAGACTCATACGCTCGATTGCTGCTTTGTTTTGGGATCGTAACTATATACCCATGTTTCGTCTCCTGTTACTATGTCCCACACCAAATTTGACGCCCCATCGTTGAATCTGGTAAATATGGCATTGCACCAAATGAAGCGATCCGTTTTTTGACCCTCAATCAAATTGTGTGGGATCCACCGAGAGCACAGATTTTTCACACCGAAATGTTTGTGTAGTATTGATTGTATTTGACTCATGCCTCTGCCTAAAAATGCCCGAATCTCATGGTATGTCACATGACTGTCTGTTTTGATCATACGGCGCACAGCATCGATGTTTTTGTTGTTCACAGCAGTGGACAGGCGACCATCACGAAATTCTTCACTGAGATTCATACGACCGCGTTTGAATTCTGCAAACCAGCTATAAATAGTAGTCTTGCATGGTGCTTCATAGCCAAAAGCAGTTTGAAGCCGAGCGATGCTCTGCTGAGCTGTGAAATTACACTAAGTGTCGTATTCTAGAACTCTAATCAATGCTCAAGTCAGGATTGCACTGGAAACACAAGCACTGGAAGTACGACCCTAACGCCAGGGACTTGAGTATGATTTCGAGTGCTTTAAACCATACTCAAATCCTGACTTGAGCATTGAGTAGAGTTCTAGAATACGAGGCTTAAAGTCGTAGAAAATCATACTATGAAAATTTTCACGAGTTAAATCCATGGAGATGTAGACAACCAATTTCTAAAATGACGCCACAAGGTAAAAATAAGTGACAATCAGAGGAAACAAACTGGATTCTACCTACAGCCAAAGAGTTCCATTTTCAAATGTTGTAATTACTTTTTGTGTGGCCAGTTCCGGAAACTTATAGTGCGCCCTATGTAATATATAAAAAAAAAGGAAAAAGTGTCTTGCCTTGTTTTCTTGATGGTCGCGGAAATACCAAAAGAGATTCGCTCTGGACCTTTTGGAGGGAAAAGTGTCGTTTTTATTTTGACTTTCAATTATTTTGTGAAATCTAGTTTAAAGTGGAATAGGATAGTGCTATTATGCCTTAATCGAAGATTAAAACGCGAAGTTATACGAATCTCAACTAAAATACCCGTATCGGCCCGTTTTAAGGAATCCCGAGTCAATCCAAGCACGCCGCCTCAAATTGCCTATCCTCTTTGTGGCGGCCATATTTACAGAAACATAATTAAATTTCATGTTTAGGCTGATGGCTTTGCCAAAGCCTTAATAGATAAAAATAAATAATAATAATATACCAAAAGATACAGGGCCTCTGTCATTGCCCGTCATTTGGATCTGTTATAGACAAAAAAAATAATTAATTTAATAAAATAAAATTAGTTTCGCGGCTTGCTCAGCTCGCCCAATATCATGGTCTACCAAGCATTTTTGATGCGTCATCGTCATAGGCATCGATCATTTTAATTTCGAAGAAAATACAAAAATTTTTAGAGCTCGCTACGTTCGCCTGCCACAACATTCGTTCTGTCCCTGACAGGGATCATTAACGTTTTATTTAAATTTCAAAATTGTTTACTTCTCGACAATCTCAGTCAATCAATCAATTATTGCCACGCCTTAGGGAAATCGTACATCTGTACCTGGGGCCCTGCGTCCTGATTTTGATTCAAATCGGAATCGATCCGATGGGGTAGTCTCGAAATCAGATGGGTTTCTGAGCGAGAAGATGAATCTGATTCCTACATGTTTTTAATTTGTGAGTTAAATCAACTATTGTTCCGATTAGAAATGTCATAAGTTTCCGATCGGCCAGTAGTGAATCGCAATTATGCGCCTCGACTCGGAAAAGACGCATAGTCCGATCGGGAGAGGCAATCAAAATTAAGCTGCTGTTCTCGAAACACGAAATCCGTGGTTACGGCCGTTTTCCAACTATGGATGACCTACAGACTTGAGATTCGATCGGGGCGAGAAATGAGAATGTATGACAATGCGATTTGACAGTAAAGTTTCGAACGTCCGGTCTTTTCGTTGACGACTTCGAGAGTAATCCCATAGTGAGAGTAGAGCCCCTGGTATGAAGCTATTGTCTCCTTCTGTCTTTGTCTATCTCTTTTGTCTTATATAGGGTTATTTGTAAAATAATAACCCCTCCGGACTATTACTAATATCATGAACAACAACTTTTGTACCATGACTTGCAAAACACAAAAAAATTATCAACAATGTTGTTTTAAGTTTTTGTTGTGCTAGTTGATATTTTTAGCTCTGTATTTAGCGTCCTCCCATCTGGTCTGTGGTCCTCCCCGACGTCCTCCGACGACGCCCCTGCGTTTTGCGTCGGACTGGTATTTACGCTACCGCATAGAGTAACGTCGTTTAGAGCGATCTATTTAATATGTATATTTTTGTATGGAAGTAAAATCTGATGAATAAATCATGATGTAGATATTATTATTAATTTATAATATCAAGTGACGGGACGAACAAGTTTTGCGCCTGTAGGTAAGCTGGCTTTAAGTCACAATGATCTGAAGGACACTTGGACGCGTGCCTATAATTTCACCAGCACCCTTACGTTTCAAAACCGAAACGCATTGATGCTGACAGGTAAGGTGGCAGTCCTTCCCTGGACGAACTCTTACACTCAGAGCTCTACTGCTAGTAACAAACTCTACTTCTACTAACAATATTATTATTATTATAATAATATTGTTTATTAGTATATTACTAATAATAAATATATTATTAGTAATTATAGTCTTGCGAGATTGTCAATATTTTATAAATAATGCTGAATAAGGTCGTGACCTTCACATTGGTTTTTCATTCTGATGACGAGTCACGCGAAACTCATCCTGCCCTCTATACATTTTCATATTGTCCCACGACATGACCAGGTTAATCCATAGCCAGGGCTTTAAATTCAACTCTACCATTCACTACAAAACGCTCGAAATTCCGAAGTCTAAAGCCGTCTAAAGAAGTTTAATGTAAACTAAAATTAGTGAGCAAACTATTAAAAAAGTGCTTTTATTGGTTTTATACTATTTGAATTTGTTCAGATAACTATTTTTAAAAACTTTTCAAAATAAAGCCATGGTAGCCTAATGGTTTGACCTACTGCCTCTCAGGCGAGAGTCGTGGGTGCGAAACCGACTTGCATCTCTTGAGTTTCTCGGAATTTAAGTGTGAAATTTTATTTGAAATTTGCCATGAGCTTTTCGGTGAATGAAAACATCGTGATGAAACCTGTACGTTGAAGAAGGTTCATAACCCTCGGAAAACGTGTGAAGTCCCCAACCCACATTGGGCCACCGTGGCGGACTATGGCCTAAACCCTCGTCGTAAAGGAGACCCGTGCCCAGTAGGGCGTTTAAAAGGGTTGATGATGATGATGATGATGAAGCTCAAAATATTTTGGCGCTGTCTGTACTTTCTCTAGGTAACCGTCTAGAATATGTATTTATAGGTAAATCCTTGTCATAACTCGCGCATTTTCATTTTAGTAACTTTTGAGATATTGTCACCAAAATTTTTTTGCTAGTAAAAAAACGTCAATGAAACAATGAAACTGTAACTAAATAAGATATGGAAAACCGATTATAGGGAGTTGTAGTACTCATTGCGCTGTTCAGAGATTATGTGCCTGTAATTTCACCAGCACTCTTATTCAAAACCGAAGCACAGTAATGCTGACATTACTGCTTGGCGGCAGGAATAGATAAGGTGGCAGTACTTTCCTGGACGAACTCTTTCACAAGGAGCTCTACTGCTACTAAAATGATAAAGAGGGCAGAATAGACGCGCATATAATAAATATAGTAAATGGTATGATACCTAAAAATAAAATGCGTGACATTAATTATAGGATTAGAGAATATGAATTACAAAAATAATCGTTAGGAATATACAGGTCTGAAGCTGTCAGGTCATTTATTTGAGAAACGAAAGTTACATCATTTTACATTCTATAAATACAAATGTACAATTCTTCGTATTGCCTTTTGTACCTAGTCTGCGCTGGTGCCAACATTACTCTCCCTTTTATTAACGAACTCGATCACTCAACAGATTGAATAGACGATACGATTTCAATTAAAGATTTATTGCCATCATTCCCTTAGTTGGATCCTCCTGCCTTCGTTCAATTTACTACATTTAAGATGAAA